CTCTCTACAATTAGAGATGTAATGATGTCTCACATTAGAGAGACTGGCAAACAACTTGTTACCGATCCTGAGAAATCGAAGAATCCTGTGGAGTTTGTTGACTGCCTCCTTGCTGAAAGGGATAAGTATGACAAGATCATAATCTCAGCCTTCAACAATGACAAGACCTTCCAGAATGCCTTGAACTCTTCTTTTGAATATTTCATTAATTTGAATCCTCGTTCTCCTGAGTACATATCATTATTTGTAGATGATAAACTGTGCAAAGGTCTGAAGGGAGTGAAAGAGGAGGACATTGAGATTATTCTTGACAAGGTGATGATGTTGTTCCGTTACCTTCAGGAGAAAGACGTTTTTGAGAAATACTATAAACAACATTTGGCCAAGCGACTCCTGTCTGGAAAAACAGTATCTGATGATGCCGAGAGAAGTCTGATTGTTAAACTGAAGACTGAATGTGGGTATCAGTTTACTTCCAAATTAGAGGGCATGTTTACGGACATGAAGACTTCTCAGGACACTATGCAAGGCTTCAATGCAGCCTATGGTCCCGAGCTAGGAAATGGTCCTACGCTGGTAGTTCAGGTTCTGACAACAGGGTCTTGGCCCACTCAACCTAGCGTTACTTGCAACCTTCCAGCCGAAATGTCAGCTCTTTGTGAGAAGTTCCGATCATATTACCTTGGGACCCACACGGGTCGAAGATTGTCCTGGCAAACAAATATGGGCACAGCCGACTTAAGAGCAACATTTGGGAACGGCCAGAAGTATGAGTTGAATCTTTCGACACATCAAATGTGTGTCCTATTGCTGTTTAACAATGCTGATTCTCTTACCTATAAAGAGATTGAGCAGGCCACAGAGATTCCTTCTGCGGATTTAAAAAGGTGTCTTCAGTCCTTAGCCTGTGTTAAAGGGAAAAATGTCCTTCGTAAAGAACCCATGAGCAAAGATATTGGAGAAGAAGATGCATTTTCTGTCAACGACAAATTCACTAGCAAACTTCGTAAGGTGAAGATAGGAACCGTAGTTGCACAAAAAGAATCTGAACCTGAAAAGCAAGAGACGAGGCAGAGGGTGGAAGAGGACAGGAAGCCCCAGATCGAGGCTGCAATCGTAAGAATTATGAAATCTAGGAGGGTACTGGATCATAACAATATCATTGCTGAGGTTACGAAGCAATTGCAATCTCGTTTTCTTGCCAACCCTGCAGAAATTAAAAAACGTATCGAGTCTCTTATCGAGCGAGATTTCTTGGAGAGGGATAATGCCGATAGACGATTGTATCGTTATCTTGCCTGAAGAAATAATTCAGGGCATACTTGTTTCTAGACCTTGGTTTTCATTTCTCCTCAGCTTATTTTCTTATCAATTGAAATTTCCATCCATTTCTTCTCTACACTGTTGTTTGATTGACACACACAAACCAGGTCAGGTCATTTGCTTATTGGAATGTGTGTTAACATTCTACGCCCTTGCACTCCCAAATTTCCAAAATATGATTATTTCGCTCATAGTCTTGGTCTATTACGACCTTTCTTTAGTGACCGTTTAAACTTTTAGACGAGACGAGATTATGTTGAATATTGTATTACATCAGTCTAACGTCCTTGGTACCTAAATTATTTTGATCATGATCATAGACCAAAGGTAGATATAGAAGTCATTTATAACATAAAAAGAGAGTGAACTTCTACATCTTGTACAGAGGGTTCTGTAAAATCAGCTGGAGTCTTACGGCAGATTAAACCCTAAAGCAAAATTAGCAAATCGATCCAAAACCGACTCAAACAGATTATCAAACTGCTCAAAGAAATAAATGCTTTCCAAATGCCTCATGAAAATTCAATCTTATTATTTTTGTCTCAAAACACTTCTCTGCAAAAACAATTATACAACAATATATCATACATGTAAAGATAGAGATCAATATACACATTTTATTACAGCTAATGAACAACATTTTAATCAGTTCTCCTTGCAATCTTTAGTAGGCCGCGCTTCAAAACCTCCGCCAGTTCTCTTCTCAAGCGAATACGGCATATAAGTACCAAGAATTCTATCCCATGTCACAAAGAAAGGCTGTGAATAATTATACTTGTTCCCATAGAGTTGATGATGAATATCATGATATGCAGTGTTGTTTTGGAAGATTAAGTGGAATAGATTCCCAGGTAGCCACAGTCCGCAGTGGTCATCGACGGTCTTGATGGTAGCGAAGGAGAAAAAGAAGATAGAAGCTCGAGGAGACATGCCGGAGAGGAGGAAGGATAGAGCTCCACCGATAGTGTCAAGAAGCAGCCCCTCTAACGGGTGGTTGTACAATGCTCCAAAAGCATAAGGTACAACAAGCCTGTGGTGTCGAGAATGAATATGGCGGTACAGAAATTTGTTGGCATGCATATAACGGTGCATGAAATACTGCCATGTGTCTAAAATCAACATTGCAACTACAATTTGTCTAAGGAGTACAAGAAGAGAAGCTGGTTGAGCCTTTGCAGCTTCGCTGTCATTTCCTGTAACCTACATGGCAAGAAGAGTGATTTCTCTAGCATGAGTCAGCACATAAACTTGGAATAAAAGAGTTTAAGCCGAGTTTTCAGAATTGATATGACAGTATCAACATAAAATTCGAAAGAAAAGGTCAAATATTTAAACCAACTTTTCATATAACCGTATCAAGTAGAAAATTTGGAAGAAAAGATAAAATGTTTGAACCAAGATTTTTCCAATATAACAGTATCATGAAAATTCGAGAAAACAAGATATAATATTTAAAGATAGTTATCAACATGTCGACACGACATCCCAGAGAATATTTAAACGGAGTGTTCAAATTAGATATGTATGTATCAACATAAAATTTGAAAGAAACTGAGTTTTCATATAATAGTGCCAACAAGAAAATTCAGAAGAAAAGGTAAAATGTTTAAACCAAGATTTTTCAAGTATAAAAGTGTCAACATGAAAAATCGGGAAAACAAGATAAATTATTTAAATTGTGTCTTCGGGTTTGATATTAGAATAATGCCACTTGTACTTAAATAGTTACATAATGGTTTACATATAGATGAAGTGTCAAAAAGAAAGTAGAATTTATTTATTTATTTATTTTATTTATTTATTATTTTTTTTAAAATTTGGATGAAGAAATTTCAACAAAATCATATCTCACCACATTATGTATATGTAAACTTATTATGTACATGTAGAACAACCAAAAATCAAATGTTGGAAACATATCGAACTAGCTTCCAACAAGAATTAAAAAGTCTGCATCTAAATATGAGCCTAAACAAAGTCGAAGGATAGGCCAATTTATTTGGTTCAATCACTTAAATATCCCTAATAACAAGGCAAAAATACTGCTAAAAATACATAATTCGTATATTAATCCATTTCGATAAAATAACTTCAACAAATATTGTCCCTCTTGGATAGAAGACAGAGAGCAATAAATATCATTTATGTAATAAAGTCAAATGAAAAATAGAACACAACAGAACATTACAATGATGTCGTGTCTCAGAGCTGAAAACATCTTCAATTTCTTCCATGCGAGTTTTGCTTAAAAGTGAGCAATAATTGCTACTCAGATCCTCGGTCAAGATTGGTATATCACAATTAAAAGCAGTTTTCCGAAGAGATCAAAGATTCAATTTTAAGACATAAATACAACTTACTATAAAATCCACGTTGAGCTATACTGCCAGCCTTTATATTGCAAAAAATAGAAAAGAAATCATTTTGTTGTTTTCAACAGTTTGTGCACGTCTAAGTATCCATCCACAGAAAAAGAAAGGAACTGACACTACAGAACACATTCATCTTCATTACCTGCGTATAACATTTTTGCTTAACTTGTTGATTCCCTTTACTTAAACTCGCTTTAGACCCAGACAAATTTTTAAACCATTTAATAACATGACATTTACAGTTATGTCCCCCAAATAATCTACATGTCAATTAAGAGGAATGGGAACTTCAGCTTATGCAGTTAATCAATGATAAAGAAAATCTGAAGTTTTCTTTCTTGTTCATTACTCGTATAAGTGCAGCTACATATTGAAAAAAGTCATCTACCTAAACGTCTTTAGGAATGATTTCATTTCATATAAGCCCTTGTTCGGACTCCATTAAAATTTAGTTTTGCAGAAAAAATGTGTTTTAGAATAATTATTTTTTGGAGTATGTGTGGTTAAAAAATACGGATATGTGTTGGGAGTAAATGTAATAATATATTATGGAAGAATGTGTGGTTAAAAATGAGTTATGAAAAAATGTATAATTTGAAAAATGGAGCCCAAACAGGGGCTAAATCAACAATTAAGAAACCCCAAATATGTGTGATAACAAATTTTCAAGGTCTAGCATCTAAATTGTAAAAAAAAATGCATAACAATTGACAATAAATATAGCTATTCAGAAATGCCAACTCCGATCTCCATATTCTATACGTGCACAACTTTCTATCACCTAGAATTGCCTTTTATGGTATACTCTCTAGATCATAAAATAGCACCTTCTAAGAATCAAACACAACTAACTCAAACATAATCGGCAACAATATGCTAGCAACTCATTAGCTTTATTTCTAATGAGCTTGAATTGACTATATAAATCTTTTCTCAGCCACTCCGAAAGGGCCAATAGATTTTTAAAAATATACCTGTTTCATTTCACCAATCACCAAGTCCTGAATCATTCTAAGGCAATATATATTCATTGGAAAACGATAGAATACACTCAACTAGGTCATCCCTGCATAATAGACAATTCTTGATCACACCATAAGCAAGAAACATATTTATATCTTCCCTCAAAAGAAACTTATTTCCTCTCAAATAATCATTACCTACATACAATAAATATTCTGCAACAAGAACCCAATTAAGTGACAAATTAAACATCAGATCACCTTCACAATTTTCACCATACCTTTACTACTCAGGAGGAAATTTCTTACCGTAAATGGTACAATTCCTCATATACTTATTAAATACACATACTCATATATATTCTTCAACACTTGCGAAAAAAAAAAAAAATTGACTTACAGCGAAGAGGATGGTGGCGACGATAGCCTGGACCGCCTGTTGAAGGAGGACTCCTTTAACTACATCCTTTTTGGACACCAGATTTTTTTCATCTTCATCTTTCTTACTATGCAGCCTGTAATTCTCCAATGCTCCAAGCATTACATATATACCTGAGTATACCCAGTAAACAACAATTGGAGCAATTGTTCCCAATATTTCATCTGAAATCTCTAAACCCCCTTCAGTTATCTTCATAATTAGTAATGATTCTTCTATGGAAAATTATGAAAATCGCGATTTTGTATTATGGGTTTTTGTTTGTGAAGGGAGTCTAATTGTAATCAGAAAGAGCAGAAGAAAAAACCCAATCCAAAATAATTATTGATCTGGGTTCTTTGTGTCTTGGTCTCCTGAAAAAAAAATCTCAAAAGTGGTTATATAGGATATTATTGTTAAGTACTAATAATTATATATGGCAGAATCCCATTTTTGAGCATAGTATAAATTAATTTATAAATAAATGAAGAATAATTTATGAAATTATTCCGCATTATCTAACTCAAGCTGTAAGAGTGAAATCTTATCAAGTTAATTGTTTATCTTATATTTAAAGAAAGGTAAAATTCAAAAAAAAATAAAAAAACACCAATGTTTGATTAGTTTAATTTTAGG